TCGGACGCTTAACCGACTGCGCCACCCAGGCGCCCCAAGCCTTAGCTTCTTTAATAAAGATTATTAACTGATCAGAGTATTCGGGGGCTTTAGGAAATATCCTTCTTCACCTAAGGATTCTACTCATCATTCAAGACCTATCTCAAAGATTTCCTGTGTTGTGAAATTCACCCCTAATCCCCCGGCAATATTAGTGCTATCCTTTAGGTTATCATACCACTTTGAACACAGTGCTACTTCTATAGCAGGATTGAGTCTATTGTGCATTTTTAACTTTTAAAATGTCTTTTCTTAGGAGTGCCTGGGTGGCTCACTCAGTTAAGCGTCCGACTTCCACTCAGGTCATGATCTCAAAGTTGGTGAGTTCAAGCCCCACATCAGGCTCTGTGCTGACAGCTCAGAGCCTGGAGCCTGCTTTGGATTCTGTGTGTGTGTGTCTCTCTCTGCCCCTCCCCGACTTGTGCTCTCTCTCAAAATTCAAATGTAAATAAATATTAAAATAAAATAAAGTGTCTTTTCTTAAAGGTAAGTGCAAAAAGGTTAAAATTTTTTATGTATTTAAAATTATGTATGTAGTCATCCACTTCCACTCCTACTCCTGGACTTTGAACTCCTCCAGGGCCTAGAAGCTATATGATCTTTCTCTGAATCCCTCAACAGGCTTTGCAGTACCTGGGCCTTAAGTAGGTTGGCATACCGATCATCTTCAGCACCCATAAAAGAACTTAGAATCTAATGGAGTTCCAGGACAAACAAACAAAAAATGTATATACAAGGCAAAGATGAGCAGAACCACCTACAACAAATACGGTATCAAACTACTTTCAAGCGTACAGACTTTCACAAATGACACTGGGTTAGTTCCTAGGCTGTGGGCTTTTTGAAGGCAGGGCTCATGTTTCATTTGTTCATGTTCATTTGCAGCACCGAGGCACAGTGCCTGACATAATACACGCTCGAGGAGTAGAAGAATTACATAGCCTCACCTTTAAATACGCCTTTTATGAGTGGTGCTACTGCTGTATTGAAGACTTCTTCCTGTTCAGTAGAGGGGTCAAACACAAAATCGTAGGTAAAGGATTTGTCAGTACCAACCACCACCTAGAGAAGGCAAAGAACAGGGAGTAAGAAAAAAAAAAATGAAAGGCAAGACCACGCCCCTCACTGCCATTTGGCCCCAGCTGTTCAGAGGCCAGCCCAGGACTCGCCTACGCACCTGTGGCTCCCCGGGTACGAAGGAAAGGCACATCTGGCAGCCCTCACTAATCTCTTTGGGGACCAGAGGGCGACATCGCAATGCCACTCTTACTGGAATTCCCTTCACCTCTTCCTTCATGATCCTACCGCAGCACCGTCTCTGAGGGGAGAAAAGAAGACACTTGCTGATGAATTTTGGTAGGTCAGGAGGGGTGGGAGTTCCAGTCCTCCTCGGAGGGTGGGATGGATTGGTTACGGAACTCAGCAGAAGCGGCGGCAGCCTCCCCATCCCAGGGGGGATTGCTGCCTCAGGAAAGTCACTGTCCCTCAGACAGGGCAGCCCGTCAGCCCGACACTCTGAAGAGAGCGAAGTGGAGTCTGAAATGAAAAGGAAGGCCCCCGGCGGAGATGACGACAAAGAACCAAAGCCCCACGGTACCAGGAAAGGCAGATCCTGAGCTAAGGTATGCCCCCTTCACTCACCAAACTAAACGTCCCTTCCCCGATCTCCCGCCGCCCTATCTCAGCCGGAGCTTTAACCGCCAAGTTTCAAATCGGTCCCTGAGAAGCCAGCCAATCGAAGCACAGACAGCTTGCGGGCACAGCACACACGTCGGCGCGCTCAGGAAGACGCGTTGGGAAGGGGCGGGCCTGCGCGCCGCATCCTGATCCCGCCCTTTGCGACCCGTCTGAGCATCCGCTTCCGGCTTCCAGAGTGAATTGGCGGCGAGCGGAGGCTGAAGTCCCGGAGGCCTGCGGGTGGGTGAAGTGGTACGGCATTTGCGCGTCGCGTGCGTGAGACTCAGGCAGGATGCGGGGCGGGGACCTGGGAGGTGGCTGGTGGTGAAGGAAGGCTCGATCTGGGGACCCCCACCATTACTGATCACATGTAGGGAATGTGGGGGCGGTGCCCTGCCCCGAGCCCCTGTGGACAGTTGGAGTCAGCCCTCCCTTGGACTCCGAGAATAGACAGATCTTTTTAGATGCTCCCGATTTCCTGTTCTCTAGAATGAAGATGGTAACATTTATTTGCAGTATTGTTGTGAGAAAGGAGATCATCTCTATGGATTACCTAACCAGTTGCTTGGCATCCAGATCTTAAGCAAAGTTAAAAGTTTTCTTCCATCTTTTTTCTTCCTTCTCTCTCTCAATCTTTATCACCTAGAAGTGGACTGAGTGCATAGACCAACAGCCTTGGGACGGATTGGGGTTGTTTTCTGGAGCTTGCTGGACTGCTTTTTGAAGCTTTTTTTTTTAATGTTTATTCGTTTCTGAGAACGAGAGAGAGCACAAGCGGGGGAGGAGCAGAGACAGAGAGAGGGAGACACAGAATCCGAAGCAGGCTCCAGGCTCTGAGCTGTCAGCACAGAGCCCAACGCGGGGCTCGAACTCAAACCATGAGGTCGTGATCTGAGCCAAAGTGGGAAGCTTAATTGACCGAGACACCCAAGTGCCCCTGCTTTTTGAACCGTTTTTATCAGCTTTGAGTCACCCTTCCTTCCATTCAGGGCTTTGCTGGAGATGGACAGCCGGATTCCTTATGATGACTACCCGGTGGTTTTCCTGCCTGCTTATGAGAATCCCCCGGCATGGATTCCTCCTCATGAGGTGGGAATGCTTGAGTAGGGGGTTTATCCCTTTGGGCATGAGATGATATATGAAAGGTAGGATGCTGGGGTTAGAAAAAAGCTCAGTGGAGAGTGAATTCTAGCCTTTGTTGTAGCCAGGGGACCCAGAAGTTGGATTCTGAGCAACTGGGCCCATTGGGGACTTCTTATGTTATTGTCCTGTCACAGTTCATTCACACCAGAGAATTCTGGAAATTCAGAGCCTTAGTTTCTATCTTGTCAAGGTAAAGAGATGGGGAGTTACTGGGCTGTTGACATTTCCCCGTGCTATCCATCTACCTATTTAGACAGTGTTATCTGTTTTACTTAAAACTGAGTCCAAGACCACACCTTTTCCTGACTTCAGGGTGATACATTTATATTCAAGATGAAGGTGAGTGTAAAATCTAAGGCTGGTAGTAAGATTTCTGTGGTTGCTATGTCTTGCAGAGGGTATACCACCCAGACTACAACAATGAGTTGACCCAGTTTCTTCCCCGAATCGTCACACTGAAGAAGCCCCCTGGAGCTCAGGTGAGCTTATGGAACAGTTGAGTCTTATTCCAGGCTAGCTCTGTCTGTACCAGGCCCAGAAGTTGACAGTGGTTGAGGAGATGGATGGTAAATCTGGTAGGGAGGTAAGGAAACTTTCTAATGGGCAGAAAATCTGAGATACCACTTCCACAACTTCGACTTCTCTCTGAGGAAGGAACACGTAAGCCAAGCTATCATGTATAGTTACGCTATTAGATGTTTTTGTGTTTGTGGTCTATATTGAGTCACCTCCCCTTTTTCTGCCCTTACAGTTGGGATTTAATATCCGAGGAGGAAAGGCCTCCCAGCTAGGCATCTTTATCTCCAAGGTATGTGTGCCTGGTAAGCGACCATATTGCTACTTCCCTTTGTTAAAGTTATCAGAATGCAGAATCCTGATGTCCTAAAGCCTGGGAGAAGGATGATTCAGTAGACTTACAGAAGGTGCATAATGGGTACACCCTTTCCCATTTAAAACTTCTCACCCAGCAAACCCTCTGTTTCCCTACACTGTCACACACACAAAAACAATAGCACCTTACATTTGAAGAGCACTTGATTTTAATTACAGCCTTTGAAATGATGTCACCTCAATCTTACATATTCTCTCCTTACCAACAAACAGGTAATTCCTGACTCTGATGCACATCGAGCAGGACTTCAGGAAGGGGACCAAGTCCTAGCTGTGAATGATGTGGATTTCCAAGATATTGAGCACAGCAAGGTGAGCACAGCATTTGTGCTGTGGTGAGGCAAGAAGCCATCCCCAGTAGGAAGGTTGGACAGGATTAGACTGATCTGTAACTTGATCAGAAGGAAGCTCTGCTGGGGTGCCTGGATGGCTCAGTCGGTTAAGCATCCGACTTCGGCATGGGTCGTGATATAGCGGTTCGTGAGTTTGAGCCCTGTGTTGGGTTCTGTGCAGACAGTGTGGAGCCTGCTTGGGATTCTTTTCTCTCTCTCTCTCTCTCTCTCTCTCTCTCTTTCTCTCTCTTTCTCTCTCTACCCATCTCCTACTCACGCTTTCTCTCTCTTAAAATAAATAAACTTTTAAAAAAGGAAGGAATCTCTGCTGATGAAGTATACTAGGAAGAAGCAGCTATTAGTGACCCAGAAGGTTGGAGTGGCCAACTTTCTCCTGTTATGATACTGTCCTGGGTCATATCTCTTCATTTGTACAAGCTGCTGTGTTCCTTCCAGGCTGTTGAGATCCTGAAGACAGCCCGCGAAATCAGCATGCGTGTCCGCTTCTTTCCTTACAGTAAGTGCCACTCTCTTTTTTACTTACCTGGCAGGGCCCTGGGTAGGAACTCTTTAAATACTGATTACTAAAGGCCCCACAAGTTGGGGAAGGGGACTTGGGAGCTCAGGCCTATAAATAACCTACTCGTTCCTTCCTTTCCTTTCTTCTTTTCCTCAGATTATCATCGCCAAAAAGAGAGGACTGTGCACTAGAGAGTTGCAGCCCATAGCCCTCCACATTGAATCTTCTAGGATAAGCTGACTAGGCCTCAGGGAAGCCTCTTGGGAAACTGTAGTCTTGGCCCCACCCTGGCAGAGCAGAGTGGGGAGGATGGGGACACAATGACGCCCTGCCCCAAACCAGCTAGCCATCTGCATTACCCAAACTGTATTGCAGTTTTTGTTCCCTAGTGTTCCAGATAAGCTTCATTCCCTGAAAGAAGGATGATGATACCTAGGTATAGCCTGTGGAGAATCCCGCTAGAAAAGGCAACTGACATTTATTGAATACCATGTGTGAGACAATTATGCATAAGTCATATCGTTTTCATTAGCATATAGAAACCAAAAGAAAAAAGAATCTCGGGGGCCTTCCACCCCATCTACCTGGCCATCTCATCCCATCCTTGCACTACCAGTCTCATACACTCTGGAGACTCCCTGGGACTGTTCCCCCTGCCCCATCCTCTGCCAAAAAAAGTAAAAGGCAATGCTGAGGAAATGCTGGTTTGACTTTTGGATGATACTGACTGGGTTTGCAATGCTATTGAGTCCAAAACAAAAGTTCTTCCAAAGAGAGGAAAACCAATGCAAGTAACAGCAACACTATACTTCACAACCATCTCTATCTGGCCAGTCCATTAGGGAGGCCCGGAAACCTTACCTTCAGTGTAACTGAGGAATGGTATAGGGTTAGGGGTACTGGAAGAAGCAGCGCCCCTTCCCTCATGAGCTTTGGACGTTTCTCTGCTGAGGATGGTATTAATGTCATTATCTTCTCCTTCCCCAGATTCTTGGATCTGGTACACAAATGAAGGGGGAGGTTTGGATGCATTGCTTTCAGGGACAGCAGTAAGAAATTGGTTCCCAATTTCCACCTTGTAGGTTGAATGGTACTGTTGACCTCCTTGTCTTCTTTACTCCAGCCCCCAAATAACCTGCCATGTTCTTTGTTGCCAGTCCGTTGTTAGAGATTCCAGGCCACACCTTATGCCGTTTCCGTTGGCATGTTTAAAATACCCATTCAGAACAAAGTTTTCTAATGAGATATGGGGTGAAATACCCCATAATGAAAGTCCCAAATTTGCCTTGAAAGAAGCCTGGGAAGCTTAATTATGTATTTCCAGGCCCTTCCCTTGGGAGTGATTTTGTTGATCTGAGGTGGAACTTGGAAATCTGAATTTTTAAATCTTCAAATATGGAAACAGTCCTAAATAGTATATCTCTATGAGGAGTTTCTGGCTTGTTCTATAAATCCCATCTCAGCTTTACTATGCGCTATTGTCAAGTAGCAACATTCTAATGAGTAGAACTGAAGGTAGAATTATTAGCTGTCTGCTTCCTCCGAAATCCCACTCCTAGTCTATGCTCCTATTTGCTGTGCTGCCCCCCAGTGGCCATCTGAAAAACTGGAGGCTCAGATACTTGCACAAAGGCATATTGGTTGAGTGAGTCTACTGAATGTTGAGGTCCAAGACTCTCCCTGACTCTCTCTGTGGTGAATGGGGTTTTTTTTACCGTTTATTTATTTTTGAGAGAAAGAGACAGAGCATGAGTGGGAGAGGGGCAGAGAGAGAAGGAGACACAGAACTGGAAGCAGGCTCCAGGCTCTGAGCTGTCAGCGCAGAGCCCAACATGGGGCTCAAACTCACCAGCGGTGAGAAAATGACCTGAGCTGAAGTCGGATGCTTAACCAACTGAGCCACCCAGGTGCCTCTGTGGTGAACAGGTTTTAAGACAACTCATCTAAGAAGTGTGGTAAACGTGGTAAAAAGTCCCAGCAAGGTGCCATGAGCCTAAGAGGCAAAAAGCCTTCTGCCCTAAATTGGTTCTCACTTTGAGATACTTGGAATGGTTCTTTGTTGGTACACTAGCATGATGTAGTTGCATTGTAAAGGTACAGGTATAGTGTGGAGAAGACATGAGCAATAACAGACTGAGGCAAAAGGACCAGTCATTTATTGAGGGTGTAGATAAGAAAACAGTGGGGAATGAACTGTATTGGCCTTTGAGGTATCCCAGTTGTTGTAGACCTGCATCCCCTATAGATATCTTTGAGCAGTAAGAGAAAGTAAGGTGGGGTTCCTGGGCCCTGCAAGAACTTTCCACCCCATAGCTGCAAGAAGCAGTCAAGAAAGAATGATAGCATTTTCAGGGGTTTTGTTTTGTTTTGTTTTGTTTTAATTTTATTTTAGAGAAAGAGAGAGCATGAGCGGGGGAAACGGGAGAGAGGAAGAGACAGAGAATCTCAAGCAGGCTTCATGCTCAGCGTGGAGCCTGATGTGGGGCTTGATCCCATAACACTGGGATCATGACCGTAGCTAAAATCAAGAGTAGGACGCTCAACCGACTGAGCCACCAAGGCACCATTCAGGGTTTGTTGTGCTCCTAAGTTCAGGAATTGTATGAAAGCTTAGTAAGTATCCAGGTATTTAAACTGTAAGTTTGAGGGGCAGGGATGGATTACTGGGAAGCCCAAATGCAATAAATTAATCAAATTAGGCAAAGACTAAGTTATGAAAAGGAGCAATAGATTTTGATGCCTGACTCCATGGAGGGCTCCAGTTGAATTTCAACCACTGAGGTGTGTGTTAAGGTAAGAGTAATGTGACTGGGGTCAAATCTCAACTATTCCCAGGGAAGCTGCTAGGAGACCCAGAAGAGGAATTCTGATCTTAAATCTGTTGCTTGAAGGCAAACCAGGGAGCTACTTTTGGTTAGTCCCATTTTCCCTTAAATAGTCAGGCCTGGCCATCAATTCAGCAAAGGGTTTGCCTTCTCTGCTTTATACTCCCTGTCCCAGCAAAGCTGGGAGAAAGGATACTCCTCTTCCTTCAGTGGAAATGAATTCTAGATAGAAGGGCAGAAGCCATGTGCTAGAATAGCTATGTGTGTGTATGTGAAAGTCCAGGTTCAGAGACAATCCCAGGACTTTGTACTGCATGATGGGAAAATGACCCTTATACCAACCCCAGGATAGGACAAGCCAAGGTTATCCAAAAAAGTAAGCAGTTGGGGGGGGGGGGGGGGTTAGCTAGAGTTAAGAGTGCAACAGAAATATTATAAAGGGAAATGGGTATTACATATTTTACGTTGTTACCAGTTTTGGCACTGGTGTCAAATATCCCATTGAAGTCTCTGGATTTTTCCTTCCCATTGTCTGCAGAGATTTGTCTGGACAAATGAGAACTGATGTAAGGGACCAGATAGCAGTAAGTGGTAACTCAAAGTGGATATGGATAGATCCTTCTGAGGTATAATGATGCCTCCACAGGACATGAACCATAGAAGCCTTCAACCCATCATCTTTCTGGTCCCTGAAACTGGTAACTCCTTCCATGTCAATACAGCACAGTAGACCCTCCCCATAGAGATGGAACCCTAGGTGTGCCAGAAGTTGTAGTTATACCTTACCTTTTGTTGTTCAGATCAATGTTAGCCACTAACACGATGATGATGTCATCATCTCTTTCTGTGCATACATCTTGTACCCACTTATGTGTCTGCTTTAAAGCATTGATGTCTACAAGACTGTTGTGGAGAGTTGAAACATTTAGTAAAGGTTTAGAGAGAATAATGTTCTTGCACTTCCACTCTGCTAGTCTTACCTTCCTATTGTTTCCCTCAATCCCTTTTTCAAATAAAACATGCCATAACAGTCGTGATATCCTAGACAGCCACAGCCATAGTCGAACCATGTATGTAGCTAGGAATTTAGGCTTCAAGAGCACTCCTGGCCAGCTGTGTCCCATAGCAGCAGCTGAACCTGCATAAGAAAATGTCTAGAAAGGAAAGACACTTGCTTTTTAAAGGCTAGAACTTAATAAAGGAAAAATAAAAAGAACCAAGGGAACAAGGTCCCTTAAAGGTGGCTGCTATGGCCACAAACCAAGTGGCCTACCATCCTTGCACAGGTCTAATCTCAATATACTGTTTTGATTAAGGAAGACCCTATAGAGCAGCAGATTTAAGGATTCAAAGCCTCTTGGATTTTGTTATAGGTGGAGATTAGATGAAGGCAGAGAAAACAAAGCAGGGTTTGGTAATTTGGGGAAGCTTCATATTTTTCTTCCCCTTAATTTTTTTAAGTTTATTTTTTAAGAGAGATACAGAGCACATGAGTGGGAGAGGGGCAGAGAGAGAATCCCAAGCAAGCTTTGAGCTGTCAGTGCAGAGCTGGATGTGGGCCTCTAACCCATGAAACGAGATCATGACCTGAGCCAAAGTCAAGAGCAGGATGCTTAATCAACTAAGCCACACAGATGCCCCTTGTCTTCCCCTTCTTTATCCACAGATAATCTAGGCTGGTGCTACTCTATTGTTATGAATAGGCCTAAGAGGTTGAGGTTAGTGATATGAGAGTAAACATTCACTATTTGTCCTCCCAAGTACTTGATCTTAGACAGGAAATCAATTCCAATGATTGCCTGCAAATGAGAATCAGATACTCCACCCCTCTACTTCCAATACCAGGTAGTCTCAGAACCAGAAGTGGAGAATGGCCCTTGAGAAGGTTGTCCTGGCTCAGCTTCTCAGTGCTTACAATAGATAACAGAAGATTCCCTAGGTGAACTGGCTGAGGAGTGGGCAAAAATGTATTGTGTGAGGGGCACCTGGGTGGCTCAGTCGGTTAGGCTTCCGACTTCAGCTCAGGTCAGGATCTCACAGTTGGAGCCCCACATCCGGCTCTGTACTGACAGCTCAGACCCTGGAGCCTGCTTGAGACTTTTGTCTCCCTCTCTCCGTCCCAACCCCGCTTGCGCTCTCTCTCTGTCTCTAGAAATAAATAAACATTTAAAAATGTATTGAGTGATGCCTTGGTGGTGAGCTCACCTGGCAGGCGCAGTTGAAGCTGTATGTAGTACGTGCCCCGAGTGGGGAGGATGAGCGGTATCCTCCCCACTGTGTGGTAGGTAAGTAGGCCAACCATCACCCTGAGCGAGGAGGAGGAAATTGGTTTCCCTGACTCCCCCCCACGCTCCATACCGTACAGTACCGTCACACCTCCCGATCTCCAAAGCCCAACCAGATACCCCCCTCCCTTCTCTGCTCCCCCAGATTTGTGCAGAGACTGTCTCAGTGGTTTCCAGGAGAAGCCTCTGGCTTCCCTGTGGGCCTCGCCTGCGAGGGTGGTGAGAGAGATCACACAGAGCTCTCAGTCCAACCGCTGCTCTTTGCCTTAGGCGCTGCCTAGGGCCTGGGATCATGGCCACGCCCACAGCTCTTGCGGCTCGGGGCTCGGGGAGGAGAGGTCGGTGATAACCAGAGTGAGGTAGTAGGGTGCTGCAGTGGTAGCGCTGGGGTAGGGATGGCCAGGGCTCTGAGGGAGAGTTGAAGGACCCACGGAGGGTGGGTAGCCTTGGCAGAGGAAAGTCGGGGGTCTTTTAGGGGAAAAGCACACGCTACAGAGTAACCTACTCACTGACAGGGGCAGAAAGTGCTGTTCTCTAGTGCCGTTACC